ACATTTTCTATGAGATAAATGATTTTTCATCAAACTTTGTTACAATAGTTTTTATTTCATGTTTACAGCTCGTTCATACTTCATTATATATATATATAACGTATGTATGATATATATATACGAGTTTACAAGTCATATCTCAATTTTCATGTTCACAAAAAACAGGTTTTATAAACACTTTTAAAAAATAGTGAGTTTTAACAAACGAAAATTGCTTTTCCAAAAATTCCTTTTCAAACATGTTTATTTTATCATTTAGAAACTTTCCCCAAAATTTTACTATTTTGGAATTGATTTGATATTTTTAACGTATTTTCAAAATCAGCCCAAAACCTGTCAATTGTCATGTATCAGTTTGCGGTCGACCGCCACAGTATTGGATCACGGTCGAACGTGATGGTCGACCGTGGCTCATCCAGAGACTTTCACGGTCGACCGTCGTGGTCGACCGCCAGCTTTTAAATTTCTTTCTCAGCCTTTTTGTGCTTCGCGGTCGACCACCAATTTCTCACGGTCGACCGCCGAACTCATCATTGCTTTCTCAACGGTTATATTCTGATTTGATTCTCTGGGGCTATTTTAGTATTTTCAAAGTTGGTTTTGGCTGATATTTTGAGTGGGTATAAATACCTCATTGCTCTTCTCTTTCAATATACCAAGTTTTGTTTTTACAGTGAAGTTTTAACAAAAGTTTAAGTGTGTTTAAAGAGCTGTTTAAGCTGATTCTGATTATCTGTTTCAAAAGAAGTTTTCTACAACAAGAAGAGGCCTTCAATTCAACTAAGGATCATATCCTCATCATCCTCTACTGTTCTTCTTGTTTATTGAGAAGTTTTCCTAACTCATATTTTCATATAGCTTATAATTTTATTTTTCATATCTTAGCTATATTTATTGAGTTACATATTTTCATTCACTGTTATCACACACACTGTATTGAGCTTAATATTCCATACTATATATTGTGGGTAGTGGTGTGTGATTTAGTGAGTGTGAGCTTCATTGTGTTCTCATTTATTATCGAGAACAAATCATTGTATTTAATTATTGTTATGAGTATCACTTGTAACACACTTGTACACTGAGAGAAGTGTAAGGCGTGAGACGGGGTCGAATCCAATAGGAGTGGTGTCAGTTGACGAACCTAGGGAGAGATTGCATCCGAGCACTTGAGGAGGAGGACACGGGCTAGGTTCCTACACTTAGTGTGTAAAGTGTGATTGCATAGTGTTTGTTGTGTGAAAGTTTTCGGTAAACTTGTAAACCGAGTGTGTAGAAGTTCTGGCTTCCAAACCGGATTGTGATAGTGGAGATCTCCTCGAGATGAGGAGCAGGGACGTAGGTCATGGTGACCGAATCTCGTAAACATATCATTTGTTTGTGTTTTGCTTAGCATACATTTTATTTGTGCTTATTCATATCATTCTTGCTCATATCCATCTCATATAGTTCTTACAAGAACATTTTAATCAATATAACTTTAATTAGCATTTAATCGTGATTAGATTAGCATAAGACCCTTATCACACCCCCCCCCCCCCCATATACGTAGTGTTTTCAATTTTCAGCCGCTAAACACAGCACAGACGCAGCACAAATGCAGCTCTAACGCACCGCGTTCACAGCCGATGGACGCAGCACAAACGTGGTACCAATTCAACCGCGGACGCAACTCAAGCTCAGACGCTGACGCATCATCTAAAGGTATACACAGGTTCATGTCCAGCAATGCAAGACTTGCGTTTGACCTGTTCAAACGTAATCGTAGCAGTCCCGAAACTGCTCTTCACCCACGATTTGGGGAGTGGTTTACGTGGGTTGTTACACCCGATTAATGGGGCGACTAATCCCCACTTAGGAGCGGATTAAGAGGGCAGTTACATCCCCTTATCCTCCTATAAAATCCCAACAAACTCCACAGAGGGAGGGATAGGATCTTTTTTAGGGAGGATCTGAGGGGACTGGACTTCTAAGATCTGGGAGTGATTCTGGTGGCTGGCGGATTAATCCTCTCTTCAGCAACAAAGAATTCATATACTTGGCTTATTAATCGATTATTCGGTTAAAAACAACTTTTTTAACAGAGTTTGGCACTCGTTCTGAGTCATAAAACTCGCAAAGAGTTCTCCAATTGTTCCAATGAAGACAATACGTTCGGATCGTCAACGAGAAGCAAACTTGACGTAAGCATTCGAGGGAGGTATCTCATCGCTACTGTGAAGAACCCAGAATTAAACAAAGGAGAGAATCCAGATCATTCTCCTCTCTTTTGTAATCAGGAATTCAAATTGTAATTGAGATCGAGAGAATACAAGTCAAATTTCTTTTATTCTTTTTACTACTAATTTTCCACCAAACAGCAGGGGATCTGTCAGACCAGAGATCTCGATGGGACTGATTAGTGCTATTGTGTTGATTGATATCTGAAGTGAGCTTGGTCGGATCTTATCCCTTTAGTCGAGGCGGGTTGATGTGCGAGTCATCATTATGATTTGTCGACCCGATAGTCGAGTGAGATTTGGGTCGAGTGTATGGTCGAGACGTCTGCTCGAGGAGTCGTCTTAATTGCGAGGGACCAACTGGTCCCGCACTTCGAGTCGGTCATGATGACTCTTGGTCGACAGATGGCTCGTCTGCTCGACTGACCGATAGACTTGGCCTCGGCTGTGTTTTAAAGACGTTTTGGACCATGCCTTTTTTAAGCCTATGCAAATAATCTCTTGATACTTCTCTTTAGATGGTAAATTACCATAACACTATCAAAAAAAATAGATCTCTTAATCATCAAAATAATTAATCTTAAATCCATTAGTATAATAATTAAAAACAATTACAACTATATGATCAACATACATTCAAATACTTATCCGGATATTTCACTATATGTTAATATTTATAACCAAACCCCTGTGGGTAACCCGGACAGTTAGGAGGTTTCATTATGGCTCCCATGATTTTGGTGTTTCATTGTGAACTGGGTTATTTAAATAAACTATAACATATCCATATTAATAACATATATGAATATATCCATGGATATAAATATTTCTTTGCACCCCTAGATTTTTAGGCCATGACTTAATTTTCTACCACTAGCGTAGTTTGCTGCCAAACACACCAATAAGTAGAAGAGGTTTTCGGATCAGCTTCGATTTAGGTACCATAATTGTTGGTTGGGCTTTTCACTGTTTGACGCAGAGAAATTGGGCTTGGGTACTGGGGACTAGGTAGTAAAAGGATTTTGACAGAAAGACGTTTGGGGTTTTCGTTGGAGGCAGTCTGTTGGCTCTTTGGGGAGGAGTAAGACAGACGGTGGATGTGCTATTGGATTATCCAACCACAATTATTTAGATCTAAAGTGATTACTGACTAATGTTTTGTAGTTACAACATGTTTGGCAAATGTGAGCTCCAAAAGGATTTCCATTTTATCCGAACACTCAAATTTAGACATGGTTTAAATCTGTGGAGTTGGTGATGCAAATTATGCGAGGAAGCACAATGTAATTTCAGGTACATAATTATTTAGAGCATTTCCAACCATACTCTCCAAATTAGAATATTCTAGGAATATTCCAATTTGGAGAGCTGAATTTAGAGAGTTGCTCCAACCCATACTCTCCAAATGTTTTTCTTTTTATTTATTTTTTTTTATCAAAAAAACCATATAAATTATTAATAATGGATATAGTTTACATTAATAATTTTATTTTTAATAATTTAGTTGGAAAAAATTTCATGTCTGATACTTATTTATTTAATTTAAAAAATAATAATTTTATAATAATACTAAAATAAATTAATCTTAGTTTCATTTTAAAGATCTCAACGAGACCTTTCCAAATATATAATGGTTTCAAATATTAGATTAATAATTTTTTAACTATATTTATTTGAAATTAAACATCTAATTTATATTACTAAGAATGATGACAAAATGGTAAAGTTGTAATTAATAAAACATGAATAGTACTTTGGAGAGACTCCAAATTTTATCTTCACTCTCCAAATTTTGGAGAGTGAAATTTGGAGATCTCCCAATTTGGATAGTGATTGGAGAGGATTCACTCTCGAAATTTGGAGATTTCCCCCATTTTGGAGGCCAGTTGGAGATGGCCTAATGACGAAAATAGAGATGGCCTAATGACGAAAACACATTACAAGCATGTTTCGCAAATAAGTCACTTTGAGATGCTTGTCAAGTGGCTTATTTTGACTTATAATCCAATATGAAATAAGCTAGGGAAGTTTGACTAAGTAAAAGACAAATATATCCCTTATAATTTCACAAAATCTACGACTTCATTTATTAGTAATTCACCATTAATTCCATATTCTTGTTGGTCATTTTGATAACAATAAAGAATTATAATCCACTTATTATTCAAACACTCTAGTCTACTATAGGAAATGGATCATCACTAAATTTACGGACAAATTTTCAAAACAAACCATTTTGCAAAAATATTCCCCCAAAACAACATGTTTTAACTTTAATTATCAAAACCGACCCAGTTTCAGCCCTGAAACGACCTGTTTTAACTTTAGTTACCAAATCCGACCCAGCTCTAAGGCTGAAACCGGGTCGGTTTTGGTAATTAAAGTTGAAACATGTCGTTTTTTCAAAATAAGTTTTAAAAATGATTTGTTTTGAAAATGTGTCCCTTAATTTACCGAACACTTTAGTTTATAATCCACTCGGATTATAATCCAAATTTCCAAACATGCTCTACATCACATGGAACATTTATGCACAAACTCATCCCCACGACAACAACAAAAAAAAAACCCAGATGAGAGGTTGGTTTTTCTTATATCATCACATGCATATGTCTGTCCTTAATTCACATTCACATCACCACCAACAGACCCCACCCAATACAACTGTGATCCACATACAAGCTCACCCCATGACTCAACCATTGCACTGCTAAACAAAAGTATCAAACCACTAATGCTAAATAGTAATGAATCATACACAATGATTGTTCTCAACAGACATGATACCATATATAAAACAAATTAAAAGTAATAATAAATCATTGTTCTCAACAGACATGATACCATATATAAAACAAATTAAAAGTAATAATAATACATTATAAGCAGTTAAAAATTAATCAACCGCTACAGAAATAGAGGAATACATTAAGTTAGTTCATGAAGGCAAGATTAGTGGATGAGGAAGAATCAATCGCCTCGAGCGCAGCCGGTGATTACACTGCATCCCCTAGTGTAAGGGTTGGCCTTTGGAAGAGCATGGCAGTTGTAGTAAGGCATCCCAGGCCTATTACAAGGCACATTGTCCCTCCTCAGAGCTTCATAGCTTATGTACCTCTTCTTTCCACCGCCACCAACAGCCGTCGCCGCCCAAAGAATTCTCTTGCTGCTCATCTCTAAGCATTCCCCAACATTTTCTCTGCTGCAGCCATCAGCAGAAACCTGCAGCTCAGCATCAAACTGAAAGTTGGAGCTGCAGCTGCTGAGATCAATACTGAAGGTGAAGAAAAAGAGGAGGAGAATGGCAGTAGGGAACCTCATGATCTTCCTCTGCCCCTTATCTATTCTTGGGTTTAAGTTTCTTGAAGGGAAAACTGCTTTAGATCTAAAACATACACCCACACAATCACCAAATTCAATAGCGTGCAGTGTGGTGTAGGTGAGGGGGCTTTAAATGTCACCTACTTGGCTACTTGCGGCAACGTAAGCAGTAGAAGTAGGCATATGAGGCGAGTGAGCGAGTGAATGAGGAAAGGAGCAAAGAAAGGACCACTGTGGCTTTACTTGTTTGTTGAGGAGGGGGAGTGGGGGTGGGGGGGTCCCCCTGCCTTCCTAACTTCATCATGGGATGGGGTAGTGTGATGTAGTGCTGTTGGGATGGAATCCAGGCCTGGCCTCTCTGGCGCACATAGGCATTTACATTTGCTTTTTTATCGTGTGAGTGGGGTTGGTCACAGGCATGTGTTCATTGTCATTCTAGTATATACGCATCTATATGCCATGGCATCCGCAGTGTAAACAAATACCCAAATTTTGCTTTTTTGTATAAAACTTCAAACAGACATTACTAGGGGTGCTAAACCATATCCGTATCCAGGGAAATATCCGAAACTGTATCTGTTAGGATATGTATATGGTTACTCAAATCTATAACCGCTAAGATATGGTTACGGATATGGTTTTGTAGTGAAATATCCGGAACCGTATCTGAAATATCCGAATAAATATTAGTGATACTCTTACGATAGTTTAAATTCTTAGATTATGGATTTGTGGTTAATTTTGATGATCAAGATGTCTAATCTTAGCTTTTCAGTTATAATGAATATATTAACAAACTCATTTGTATTACATGAACTATGTTTTTCTCAATACTATCTAGTATTTTCATATTTGTTTTTGTATCTGCATGCTTTTCCGCTTATATATTTGCATGCATGTATATCCGTAACTGTATCCGATCTTAGTGGATATGGATATGATTTTCCTTACCAAGCTATATCTGTATCCGTATCTGTATCCGAGATGAGTAAACGGATATGGATATGGTAAGCATCATATCCGAGCCGAATGTACCCCAAGACATTACCAACACATGAGGAAAAAGACTTACCATCTTGTCTGCATTCTTCTGATAAGAACCTTGCAATACTGTGAAAATGAACAAACTACAAAAACGGAAAGGGAAAGGGAAAACAAAGACAAAGATGAATACACATTTCTTCTAGATTTTCACCTGAAAAAAGCAGCAAACAGAAGAAATTAAAAACATGGGGATGTTCAACTGGAAATAAAGGAGAAACTTCTTCTAACTCAATGCGCCCAACAAATGACCAAGGCACAGCTCATGAAATGTGAAACACGTGTCCTAACATCTTCTTCATTCGTCTGTCATTTTGAATTGAAAACATAATCATCGTCATTTCTCACGATCATATTGATCATCTTCAGAAAAAAAAAATCATATTTTAGTATAGGAAACTAGATCTTTCTCAAATAGCTCCCTTTTTCCAAATATTCCCGCCAAAAATCAAGAACGCAGAAGCCAAACAAAACTTTGCCAGTCTTCACAGGTTGAAGTTGTCCAACAAGCAACCAAACAAGACCCACCTCCCTTCCAATCAGGCCCACTAATAGTGCTTTGTCAGGGAGGGAGGGAGAGAGCCAAAACATTGTTAACTCCAGTTGTATACATTTACATCTAAAATCAACGGATTGCGTGATAAAGAATCATAGAAACCATAAGCTACTTACTCCTATACAGTCCTCAGATCCCAAACACCTAAACTGCACTCAAATGAGCTACCAACCCATGTCAATATGATCCTTTCCACTATTCACGTTCAGGACTAGGGAATTGAGATATGGATAAATGTGTTAACTACCTCAACCAAAATTATTGAAGTCATTTTTATTGCTTACGTTTGTAGAACATGAGAACTCTAAATAGTTAACTATGCACCTGCAACAGACCTCATTTCATGTCTTTTGATGGAACGAGCCTCACTCTTTATCCAAAGGATCAACTGAAAAGGTGTCTAGATAATACTGGTTAGAATCCCATTCTTCTCCAACCAAGAGAAAGTAACTGCCTAGTAAGTAGAAAGGTATAAATATCGGATATCTGGGAATTATTAGACAGCCAAAATCCATATTAGATTGCAAATATCAGGAAATATTTAAGATATGTAGTGAATATTGAAATGTTGTATTAGATAATGTGTAAAATATAATGTTCTAAAATGTAATCTGAACACACTTAAAGAAATCTAAGCATAAAAGAAATGATATGTGTAGGATCACTAATCATTGTGAAACTTGCTCAGAGAAAAGAAGCCTACTAGAATTTTGCTTAAGAACATCAGAGAAATGGATTTTTTGCCAAAAAGCATTAAAGAAAATTTGCAGAACTATAAGCTATATAAAAGAACATATTAGCTAACATATCAACTAATATATCGGCGATGTCAGGGATATATTGCCTGAAAATCTCCAAGCGGTAAGAATATTGAGACCATATCAAGAATATTTAAAACAGTGCTGCCTGCAACCTCCATTTTCAACAACCACAGATTCACCCGCAAGATTTTTCTAATCCGATCATCCATATAAAGTTATAAAGACAGCTCCCAGTTTATACCCTATTGATACCAGGATAGTTGCTCAAACTAAATGAAAAACATACAACTCGAAATGATCATCATCAAGAATTACAAAGATTCTGGAGTCACTGCAACAACATTTAGTACAACAAACTTGAGTTTCTATAATATCTGCCAATTTTAGAGCACACAGCATATGCACACTATTAATCAGGCCCTGTCAGACACCTTCAATGGTACCAGAGTTCTAGTTACTTCGAGCGTACCTTGTTCAGGAAACTGAAGAGTTTTTATCTAGCCTTACAGAAAATGTATGATCTTTTCCATAGAGGAGGATCTCCCTTTTAAAACTTTAGAGGATGTCCCTTCTTCACCATCCAGGGGTTGGTAAGAAAACATCCATCCAGCAGGACAGCAAGGCATTCTTGCTATCATGTTACTTTATCCAGTTGAAAACAAGCGGCACCACTTACCGTAGCACTGCAATGGTCCATAGTAGAAAAGGACATATAACATAATAGGTTGGGGAGGTACATAATGAGTAATTTTCAAACGACAACAATGGAACATCCGGGAGACTAAAGTGTTTGCTAATTACAAAGTGGAAAGTGAAAATGAGCCAACATGCCACATGAAAAATCAACAACACTACGAAGTTCTACCTTGGGCCTTGTAGAGAGTACAGGAAGCATATGAGAGGCAGTTGAAAGCGCAAAAGTATGCATAAAGTTCATCTGAGACTGAGAGAATTTTGTCTTGGTGCTGCCACTTCTGCTGTTTCACACTTTCAGACCACTCCTGAGTTGCCTAGACCACTCACAAAGAACAAGATGCCAGACAAATAAAGACCAAAATCCAGTGTAATCGAAATGGCTTCACAAATATCTAGGTTCAATCTCTCCATGAAGCCCTTAAGACAAAGGAGGTTATAGAGGCCTACGTCTCCACATTAATCTATTATTGCTCCAAACTAATTCTCTAAAACAAAAGTGTGTGATTCAGCTGAAAATTAGCTACCTAATGAATATTTAGCTACGTTGCAAGGGTACGAGTGTGGACATGGGACACGACAAATTTGTAAAGATACAGTACATGTATGCAAATTTATAATTTACATGAGATTTATACTGTTTTCTCATTCACATGCTAAATTAAAATTCCCATAATATTTTTATGTTCTTTTATCGTGTAGACCATAAATTGGAAATTACTCATTTCTGAACTAGAAATAGATATTTCTGAACTAGGTATGGGCTGAAACGAACCCAACTCCTGTCTAGCAAGTTTCAGGAAGTGGATGCGAAGGGTAAGATAAAACGTTCAAGAGGTGTATGATGAGTGTTTTAAACTAAACTATGTATTATATAATGAACAATATACGTCCGAATAAATTCATGTGTATATTCAAAGAGTGCCCGGGGAGTGTTAGTTAGATACGGGTAGGGAAGTGTCCGACAAGGGTACAAGAAGTGTCGAACGCAAGTACGAGAGCCCAGACGAAGCATCAAGATAACATAGGTATTCAGCAAACGCAATAGCCTAGTAATAATTAATTAGCTCACTTGCAGGACCTCAAAATCATAGTGAAAATTGTGGCCTAGTAGCATTAAATCTCAGTGACGATTGCACCAGAAATCTAGGGAAAAATTGTGGCTTTGGAGCATGGTGGAAAATTTTGTGTCTACTTATAAAGACCAATGAGGATTATGCGGAGTAGGTGCAAAATTGAATAAAAAGATTATGGAAAAATCAACAGAAAATTAACATAGCATGATGCTTTCATTGTGAATCAAAACCAAAGTTATGGGACCAGAGAAACAAGATCTATCTATATGTAAGCACGGTAATGCATATGTAGTAATGTAGAAATGAGATCGATCTGTAGGCAGTGATGTAGAACAGATCAGGCTAAATCAACAAAACCATGGTGCTTTTACTATGTTTTCAATGTGGATCAAACAAAATTTACGGAACCATAGAGACAAGATCTGCCTATATGTACGCGCAGTGGTGCATAGTTAGTAGGGTAGAAATGAGATCAATATCGAGATCTTGACAGTGAGGTAGACGATAACAACTATGTTGAAGAGACAAGACCTGATTGTAAAGGACGATAGTAACGATTAGAACTCGAAATCAGTGATGATCAAAGTGGTCAATGATGGCAATGCAAAAGCGTGGTGACAGAGGTCAGACAGTTTACCACGCCAAGGGAAAAGCGTGGAAATGATGTCCGTTGAAACCCTAGATTTTGGAATAGAGATTCTCTAGTTTAATTAGATTAGCGATGATACCATGTTAGGGAAAAACCTCTGTTTATGCATCTCCACTCCATAATAACATGTTTGTGATATCCTATTTATCCACATATTATAGCTATTGAAGGTTTGTATTGTTCATGCTACAATACATATCAATAAAGTAGAGTTCTTAGTCCATAGTGCCTCGTCATGGCTACAGTAAATATATTTTTATATTCTTTTCTTTTCCTAAATCATCCTAGAAGCCAATTAGCACATTTGGTTAGAGTGTTTGGTTGCATGGCACAGGTCGTTTGACTTCTCAATTTGTCACATTTACTTTTTTTAATCGTAAGGGACTACATTAGATTTTTGAGGTCTAGGTACTAAGCTAGATACTTGCATAGTGCACCCCAAAAGTTA